GTATGACTTAAAGCTAAATGAAACAAGTGTAAAAAATGAAACACAATATCTCAAAAATATTTTGCTGAACAGAATAAAGTTACTTCCTGTGATTGTATATAAAATGCACGTAACAACATAATAAGCCTCAGAGTCACATTTTTTGCCGGAAATAAGACAGGCGAAACCCTTTTCCGACATAAGATACCTATTCCATTATAGAATGACACCCATAGTACTATAAAGCATATTCAGTGAAATACGTCTAAGTAGAACACTTTTGGAATTTCTCAAAAGTGTTCTACTTTGGAGGTGTTCTATTTATAGAGCTTCATTCCACATCGATGTACTATATGTATATTATAATAATATAGCGTTGCCGGATGTGATGTATTGTGGGTGATGTGTTGAATAAAAGATTACTGATATAAGTACACTAAATGTGTAATAATTCTATGAATAAAAGTGCAAAAATTTGCCTTAGTGTGTGTACAGCTCAGAACAATGTGAATATGAAATCACATATAGCAAGTAAAGCAGTTAATTGTAATAAAGGTAGCGTGTAGATTTTTGGTATTGATATTTACATTTGTAATTATGTAAAATGTAATTAAGCCTCATAAAGAGGCATGAAGCTTTTATGTATGTCGTAACATTGTAATTGTGGGATGAAAAGAAAGTATATCTTCAGCTGTTTATTGAGCTGTCGTCCATCAAATGTATCTCTTCTGTCTCACTGAGGAATCATTGAAGTGGTAATGTGAGATATACACATAGGTTATAGGTCTCGAGCATATGCAGGCATCATAAAATGCATGACGTCCATGACAGGCGCCTCGTCACAGACTGACATCAAAGTGGATTCCTGGTTAGACCCATGCCCTCAGCTAGTCATCTCATCAATTAGCATCATCATAGAAATCCTGGTTCATCAAAGACTTGGAAATATACCTCGCATATACTGGGCCTTGGAGATGCGATATTATGAAACAGTGGCTTCAAGTTTCTAGAACATTACTCTGCTTAGTGATGCACTAATATAGGATGCTGGATTTTACAAAGCATCTTTGATACACTTGTTGAATAATTTGACAAGGCCTTTAAATACGTAAGTGTTACATGGGACCTTTAAATACTGAATTGTCAAATATCCTTGTACAGAATATAAATTAGTACAGGGCCTTCAAGTGATTTGACAAATATCCTTGGACAGGATACGAATTTATACAGGGCCTTTAATTGACAAATATCCTTGGACAGGATATTAAATATTCTTGTACAGAATATTCCCTCACACACTGATTGAAATGACAATTAGGCCTATCCTTGCACAGGATAATCATATGAAATAAATTCACACGGGGTCTTTAAATATTCTTGTACAGAATATATTATGTGAAGACATCGGCATCTGGTCGTTTGGCTCAAGCATCAACCCCGGTTGTTGGTCTCATCGAAGATCCCCGGGTGATTTCTATCTTTCCTTTTCCATCCTTATTTCTCATAGAAAACACCAACAAAACTGAATTTAACTTTCTATATACATCTATTTACACTTTATATACGTTTTCCAACCCCCCTAGTACATAATTTGTGTTCAGTCGTTACATTCTAGCTCAAATTCTACGGAGCTCAAAGTTTTCCAACTTCCCGCTCGAAAAAGTGTTCTCACCCATTTGTGCATTGCGCATGTCCAAGACGCCACAAATGGCAATTGACGCACCGCGCATGTGTCCCGGAAGTTAAGAAAGTCTAAACTTCCGGTAAAAACAAAACGTGAACATTTTATGTTTACACTTGAAAATGAGAAGATAGTAAGAGATTACATTAATATAAAATGATATAAGAATGCTGAAATATAATGCAAATACATGATTGAACTAATGAATTGAACAGTTGAAGGTAAGAAAGTATGGCACGTAAAAGATCGAGTGAAATGAACTTGTAAATTTTCTGAGTTCCTAAAAATGCTACAATAAGAATACTTGATAAATCTTTTAATCTCTACTTTGCCTTTACTATATATATATTTTTAATGATTAGTACTATTATGGCATGTTGGTAATATTGGGAAAAGGCATTAACATGACAAAATGTCACCACCTAGTTGAAGCAAGGTAATAAAAAATACCTTTTTGACCTTGAGGAGGTTACTAAAGGTCAAATCTATTTTGACCTTGAGAATGTCATTTAAGGATCAAATCTATAGGCAGATTTGAAATGTTAAAAACTTGTAGATGATTTTGAAAAAAAATTGGTCAATTTGAAGCAAGTTGAAAGAATACCTTTTTGACCTTTTTTGGCTAAAATCACTTGAAAAGTGCTAAAAATGGTCATAAACAACTGCATGATTTTTAAAGAATTTTTGGCCAAGTGTGGTTCCCTTTTATCAGTTTCTGTTTGAAAAAAAGAAGTGATAAGTAGCAGAATGACAAAGTACTAATGATACATTTCTCTTTGTACACACCCTGTATATAACCTGCCATGTCAATTATATCCTTTTTATCACTTGAAAATAGTTTACACATTTCTGTTGTACATGAACTATCTGCACTGCCTCTATTCTCTTTTTGTAACTTTCCCTCCTCAAAATATTGTCCTTAATTCCTAGAATTACAAGAGGGATAGAACTGAGGTGAAATAATATGTCATCTATTTTAAGACTGTAATAACTTGCACCCTCTGATATGTCCTCAGCATCAATAATATCATAAAATAATCCAAAATTAGAATTCTTCATTATTACATCCTTAACATCATAAAAAAAACTATTGTTGGAAGTTTGAAGTGTCATTAGGTCTGTTGCTATATCAGATAGAATTATCACAATAGGCTTTGTGATAATGTTACTTATAGTTCACTCTGGTCATCTAAAACTCTCCAATTAGAATCGTCTTCCCCAATCTCTCTCCCCACTGGAAGTGTGATGAACCTTACCTTCTCGCTTAGGGACAATGGGATATATAGGGGTTATGCACTGGGAGGTTTTGGATACAGGGAATATCCCGAGGGATATACAATATATCTTCCCGAGGGACCGAAGGGACCGAGGGAAGATGTATTGTATATCCCAAGGGATATTCCATGTATCCAAACCGACCGTGCTTAACTGGTGTATCTCATACTTGAGTGAGTTTAGGGTAGACATAACCTTTTCCACCTTTTTCAAATAACAAGATATTTATATTTAACATTTTCGTAATATTCTTTTTGTTCAATACGATGAAATTGTAACATTTAAACTTAAAAAAATTAAATATACGATATATATTCCCGGGTGATATCTACCCCAAACCCACTCAAGTATGAGATACATAACTGTAGTTTATATAGATATAGTTATAAACTTTTGTGTATATAATTTCATCTTTCTCCCCAATTTCTCCCTCATACTACAATGAACAGTCTCTCACCGTTGATAAGTACACTAATAACATCCCTAATTTGTTGAAACCAATCCATGAAACAAGAAGCCAGAAGATGTATAGACAAGGATTCAGGATGGCCATCAGACGTACCACCGGCCAAATAACAGGTGAACTGATCACAATATAACACCCAAGCCAATGAAAAACAGGTTTAAGCTCATGACATCATAATAACATTCTGATCTACCAAGAGTACCTCTTTATCTAATGCTTGGATTCCACAGGATGGTACAGACTGTGGACTCCACAATGTCATAATAATGACTTAACATGCAAAATGTCACCATCTGTCATTTGTTACAAATGCTAAACTCCAAATGCCAACTTCCAGATGCCAAATACCAGATGCCAAACACAGTCCACAAAAAAAGTTGGAGACTATAAGAATATTGTCACCACTTGTAGATCCCACAATGTCATAATCATGAAAACTGCAAAGGTATATTGCAAAGTGTTGATACAACAGACACCATCTATTGGCAACAAGAAGATCTCATGCAGATTCTAAATCGTTTACAAGAGCAAGGTAAACTATAACAATAATAGATGGCATATCAGTACAACATCACAATTACCTTGACAATCATGGTCACATAAATGCCTCTTGGGACTCAAAGACCATAACATTGTCAACCAACAATATTTCAAAGTGGAAATTAGGGGCAGAGAATCAGTAGTGCATTCAAGATTTTATTTTTAAATTTTCTTCCAGCTTCCACTTTACATATACTTTATTACATATTCAAACATGACCGTGCTCTATTCGAATTTCTCAACCAATCAGAATGCAGCATAGCCAATATAGAACGTTCTCTAATTCTCCATAGATGCACGACCATGCTCTATTCAATCTGCAATTTGCATTGTTTTGAGTGACGTCACATCTCAGCTGCACATCTGGGGCTCTGTCCGGGGATAGCTGTTCTTTTTTACTCCCTCCGTAACTACTGTAACTATTTAACTATGGCTGACTTCAAGTTTATACACCGTATAAAATCTAAAACGGGGAGTAAAATAGAACAGCCCAAACAAATTCTAAAATTTTTCCGGCCAACTTCAGAATCTTGACAGCATGCGTATTCTTCCTTCATGCCCGTTCCACAGACACGGCTTTTACTAATTTTTATGTTTGAATCGGAATAAATAATGATAGGCCATTCAATATGGTGAAATTCAGCACTCGTTGGACAGAATTCGTGCTTCGGTTCGTGCTTTGTACAACATTCTGTCCAACTCGTGCTGAATTTCACCATATTGAATGGCCTATCATTATTTATTCCTTAAACACATAGTAGGAGTCCCCAAAAAGTAATTCACCTTTAAGGATTCTTCCAATGATATTCTCCTAAGTTTAACTCAAGGAGAATAAGAAAACCATGCTATACTGTAGACATCATTGTTCTTATACAATACACATGACACCTTTCAGCCAAGCCAAATCTGAAGTTCACAAAAAATCTTGCACAAGTGATTTAATTTTCACATTTGGGGTCAAATCCCTATGACTTTATGATCCGCTTTCGTGGTGGTTTGGACAGCATCCTTCCTAGTAGAATGAAAGGCTAACAAGAACCGAAAGGTGCTTATACTCACCTCATCTGTCTTGGCATTCATCTCCATCTGTATCTCCTCAAGCTCACTCCTCATAGTATCTTCCTCGATGGGTTCCTCCTCAATGGCAGCCATCTTGTTACTGTCGTCTGCAAACTACACTGCCAGCAAGTGGTCGATTCACGTCAACAGCCAGAAAGCAGTCTCCCTACTTTTACTACCAGAGTAGTATTGATTAGTGTACAACTTCTACCAAGTGCGACTAGTCTCTATCTTATTTTTGTTTGCAGAAATCTGAAAATGAAAAGAATTCCCGTTATGGATAATTATTATAAAAATGACACAATTCAGGGCCTAATATGGTGATGCCTTATGCTAAATTCCAATTATCTAAAAAGCTGATTTCTCCAAAATGAGGCGGAAGTATGTAATTGGACCAATGGTAGACCCCATAAAATGGATATGAGCTTTAGTTCAGACAAATGACAGTTTTCATTTGTCTGAAAATTGTTAACGTATGATGGAAGGATGAACAGAGAGACGAGATGAGATGATTCCACAGGCTCACCATATATATAACGAGAACACAAATGTGTACAACATGTCCCCACCAATGGGTGATCCCGTCAAATGGTTATTCCGAAAATGAGTAGACAAGACTTTACCGACACAATTTTAGGACAGAAAATCCAAAATGGACACCTTAAAATTTACTCAGAATGCCGAAAATTAGTCAATTCTAGATTTTCATACAAAGAAATACCCCTGAAAATTTGAAATTGATTCATCAAACAGTTAACCAGAAAACGCGTGAACAAGACTTTATCACTTAAGCGAATGATCTTTTGCAAGGAAACCATGTTGCAAAGGTTTCAAAGGTCAAATAGTCAAAACTAGGTCACATCTAACCATATGACCTGCATAACCACCTGCTTTGCGATTCCTTAGTAGTTAAGTGTAAAGAAGACATGACTTCGAAGCTACATGTTATTTTAACCAAGTATGAATTGAACTGCTGAAATGAACAGGATATGAAAGGATATGAATCTACCCAGCATTAAAGCAAGTGGGCGCAGCACCCACCTGAGATTTTAAAAACAGGCTTGTACCCACCCAAGATTTCACTTTGCAAACATTTGAAAATTAGCAAAATCATGTAAAATTGGCATATTTTGACAAATTTTGGACTGAATTATGAAAATGAGAATTTTGCACCCACTTGAGAAAAAATCCTGGGGAGAAAACTGGAAACTGATGATACTTTTCTTCCCCTTCCATCTACTTACAACTAACAATTGCCTCGTTTGTCTGTCAATGAGACTATAAGGTCCAATAATGGTGTCTGGTTAAGTGAGCAATTTCTATCGCAAACCTTCTTTGTAAAATGATTATTTTAGATTTCTGGACTTGAGTTACTCCATAAAGATCAAATCAACAATTTTACATGGTTTTTAGTATTAACAGACCTTTTAATTGTAACTTTATGTTTAGCTTTGTATTTTACGAAAATGATAGGCAAGTCTCCAGCTTTTCACTATTTGGTAATTGAATTCTAACACACTGGGCCTCTATGAAGACCAGTGACGTTGAATATTGAGGGATGTTACCTGTGGAAGATACTCAGGTATTCCTTAATATGATTTTAAGAGATTAGGCACTAAGGGATAAAGTCACATTCTCAGCTTTTGAATCGTATCTCTATTTATTAGAGATCAATATCGTTCATAATTTTGTATCGCTATATTCTCACATTTCATAATGAACAGGAATAGTGAATCAATGAATGGAGGTCATAATAAATTGTAGCATATCAACTGAGACACGAGAAGCTGTCTTGATTTTAGCATTTGTCAGGTTAACTTTCAGGAATATGTGGTGGTCATAGAGATATTTTACAAAATACTTTTTTAAGTCCAAAACCTTGTATTTGGCTTTTAATTCTCCATTTCGCTGTTCGCTCTTTGAATCAGAACGTTCGCATATATGGTGCATATATGTACTCAAAAAGGACAAAATTTGATTGGTCAATATTTTTCAACGATGCATTTCGTGTAGCTATTTGTGAGACCCGAAAGTTCTAAATCAAATTAATTACGCAATTTTGTTTTTACACCCGCAAGCTAAATAAAAAAATGACACCATCGGAATTCTTCTTCTTTGTCATTGAATTAATAGTCAGTATACCAGATTTAATCAATAAAAGATTATACAATTAACAACAAAATTCGGAAACGAGTATGTAAGATTTGCTTTCGAACCACTAAACTTGACCTAGATAATAGCGACGTGTCTTCTTTGGTCAAATGCTCAGTTGTTTGTGGGTTTTCAACGTAACTCTATAATGTAATATGAAGATGAGTACTTTTATTCAGTTGTTGCATCGATGTTACAGTTTGTAGTGCGGTAATATTGGCATGAACGTGTTGAAAGTCGAATGGAATTGCTTTTTCCAATATGGCGACTAGTCACGTGACTTCTTCTCTTCCGGAATATACTCCCATTTTCAATCATTGTTTTCACCCCGTTAGGAGCCAATAAAATGAAAAAAAATATATGTTATATAAAGATTATTAAAAGACTAATTGTTTCTGATAGTTTGTTTTCTCCGATCGCATGGAGATTCGATCGAAAATATCGCTTGAAAAATGGGTATGAAAATCCCCATGTTAAACCAACGGGGAAAAACAAGGTAGAAAAATTTTGTTCCCCCGCGAACTGCATCATGGGAAATATTTTGACCTTATAAGGAAAAACTTTCGCGCCATCTTTATTAGAGATTCAATACTACCGAATCCGCGATTTTAAGAATTGGGAGGCAATATCTGTTCCTAAAAATGTGATAAAAAGGAACAATTTCTTGAACAGTGATCTCTTTATCATGGTGATTCCTAAACATTTTAAAAATACATGTAGGTCAAATTGCAAAAGTAGGTCATATTGCCAAAGAGGTAAAAATTAAAAGTATCTTGGATAGATGTAATTCATATTTATATTTAAGATAATTGAATATGATCGACAGAATGACGCAGATGCGAGTAGAAATAATCTTGATTTACATCATTAAAAATTCAAAATTCAGTCAAAGTAATATCATATTTGAAATCTACATGTAAAATAACATCTAGAAATGTGGTTTTAAAAAGTGTTTATCAACTTTGAAAAATAAATTTTCTTTGAAAATGTGACTTCTAGCTCGGGGAGATTCCCCATAGACCCCATGCTATAAAATCACAAAAAATGAAATATCTTTTCTTTTAGTTGACAGATAATATTTTGCTTTACTGGACATATTTTCAATAGTATAAGTATCAGACGCATAAGGGTTATATGAAAATTGAGCCACTTAAATTGATAATATTCAAGTTTAAGGGAACTTTCTTATATACCTGCCATGTTAATTGACCCGAATCAGCCATCTGGTGGTGAAACTGGTAACTACCTACTCGCATTTGGGTAATTAGCTCATCATGAAATCATCATGAGAGTAACACTGTAAAGTTTTGGCTAAATCAAACTTTTTGCAAAATCTGAACAGTGACCGCTGCCAAGAGAAAAATGTAAAACCTGGGAAACGGAAGCTGAAACTGCTTTTGATAATTCTCAACACAAATTGCAACTTATATTATCTGATTTGGAAACACTTTAAATGATACAGATTTGTATACTCTGAAAAATATGATATTTAGAAGACGAAACAGTGTAATGATACTTTCCTGAAAAAAGCAAGGAAATACACACATGCCTTCATACTTAATTCTGTACCAGATGTGCAGGTATAGCAATTTTTTACCAAAATGTTATTTTCCAGCTAAATCTTAATTGGTGAATATAAGTTATACCTCACAAGTGACGGTATCTGTATCATTCAATGACATACTAGACTCGCTAGAAAGCTGATTTAAACCGATAAATAGCAAAAGCGATACAAAATTTCATCAATTTATTTCATCCAGTGTAAAAACGTGACTTTGAATTTCTGTGAACATTTTTTCAAGAGACGCAGCTTTTTGAGGGGATACGCATTTTTTGAAAATAATTACGTCCCAGGGACGCAATCTTGGTCAAGCCTACTGAAAACACTAGGAAAGATACTGTCAAGCCTATAAATCTCAAGATGTTGAATCTGAGTTACATTTTATGTTAAAATGCAAAACATATAAAAATGAAAGACAATTATTTTTTACCAAAGTAAAACACCATATTCCCGATTTTGATTTTACAGACACTAGCATTAACAATTTGAAGATAATCCTTAATAATCCGAAAATTGCATCAAATACATTGAACTAATTTATCAAATATTTTCCACATGAGAAATTATTATATATAATGACAATCTAAAGTGTCCCATAACCTTTGAAGGCTGGGTGCACGCTCGTTTGTACTGATTGTATATGTATGTGAAAATGTGCACGAGACACTGAAATAAACAATTACTTACTTACTTACTATTAGCTCGGTGAGATCAGAGATTTATTGTAAACTGAGAGTGAAGACGAAGCTCTCTTTTGAGAAGTGAAGTCGAACGAATGCAAAGGGTACCAACTACCAACAGAATGAATATCAGCTTGAGTTCAGGGAATAGCCACATTTCATTTGTCCTACATTACAATTACTGGCAGTCAGACAGAATGATGGACAGTTATACAGAGAGATGATGAAAGAGTATGGGCTATTCTCAAGCTCATATGGTGAGCTTCTAACAGGTTGCCAATTGGGTGACCTACAATCACCCTTGGCTTTTGGCAATGAAATTTCAAAAAACTGGTTACTAATTGGTTAGCTTGGTAATTGGATTTGGAGTTTAAGCTTGAACCCCGAGTGATCTCAAAACTAGACGATTTTACCTAAAGGCTTTAATAATAAGACACTATGATTTGTAATCAAATTAAGTGAATTCCCTTGTTTAGAAATATCGATTATATAATGTCTATTATATTCTATGAGCCCAGCAGCTGTTAGAACAAGAATGAAGACAAACTCTTTCTCATCTGTGAATACTGAAACATGGAAACGTTCCTATGCCTTTTCAAACCATAATTTCTTCATTAAGTTCTTGGGGTAGTTATCAAAAATTTACCAAAGAGGAAGTGAAAAAACATGCTGAATTTTTTTTAACTAAGATAACAGCATCCTGTTTTGACCATCAGTTGGCTTTAGTAGTATCATATATCATTTACA